GTTTCGTGGCGAGGGCGGCCCCTCGGTGGTCCCCGGGCCCCCCTTCCCCCCCCCCCGGTGCCCCCTACCTGTGCCGACCCCAGCGCCCGGCTCTGCTCCACACTGCCCAGAGGCCGTCACCCCTCTCCTCTCCCAGCCGCCGGGAGCGATTTTGCAGAGGCCGGCAAATCCCTTAATGCCAATGACGGCCCGGGGGGGCCATAGCAGGGACAGCTGGTTCCAGAAGCCGGGATCTGCAGTTCCAGCACTCCTGCCCCCGGGAGCCTCAAAACAACCTGATGAGTCGGTCAGTTCCATTGAGCCTGGAGCGGCCGCACAGGGGCCTCCCAGGACAGCGCGGGGGAGAAGGGAGCTGGGTGTCCAGGTTTCATACAGGGATCCCTCGCCCAGGGCTGAGATGCAGCCACCTCTGGGGTGAGGCACGGGGCCCCTCCTGATACCCCTCAATTTTCACCCTACAGAGCTAATTTGATCCCAAACACCTGTTCCTCTCCCAAACGGGGAAGCCCACTGCTGCGTCTACAGGAACTGGCCCACTGAAAATAGGGGCAGATTTTCATTTCATTCCTGGCACCTCTGAAGCCAGTCCCCCGGCCTGGGGCCAGATGAGAGACGGCGCCCCCTAGAGGGGAAAGGCCCCATGTCCCTTTCCCTGGTCCTCTAACTTTCCAAGTAATGTCCATCAATGTAGACTCACTGAAAACTCAACGCATCCCAAATACAAACAACACCTTTATTCCCAACCGCAGAGAACTCAGCAGACGCCAACGTGTTCTATGTTGCATTAAATGACAGTTATTCTGAAGCCTCCCAAGTGTCCACTCTCCGGGGTCCAATTCGGGTCCCAGCCACCGCCCCCACTGGGGGGCACTGGCTTCCGGTCCTAGACTCCCGTCCTGTGGGATCCCACCTCGGTCCCCTTTCAAGACACAACACCCCAGAAGCTCTGAGGCTATTTGTTGAGGTAAAACACACGCACCCTGCTAATGCGCTCTTAACAAAAAATATCAGGGACTTAACGACCCCCCAAGCCCCATAACCGAAGGGGAACGCTTTGCTCCTCGGATTCTAAGGAGCTGCTTTCAGGATGAACGTGAAGGCATCTTCTGCTCTTAATGTCTCAGGGCCTCTGTTAAAAATACCCCCCTCCATGTGATTACCCCACAATAACGCTCGCTGGTGTTCAGACACGGGCATGTCTGAGGCATCATCCTTCGGGGTCAGAAGCCACTGCTGGAATAGACGTCACACACGCAGCATTTCTCTCCCCTGTACGGAGCTACAGAGGGCACTTGCCTTCTTGCGGAGTAGTGTCATTTCTCTGGGCTATATATTAAAATGCCAACGTTGACTGATTGCATACGTACACTCGTATAATATGCAACTAATACGGGCAATCAGTCAGATTCCCCCTTTTAATCTCTATATAGCACAGAAAGTATAGAGCAGGGTTTCTCAAACTGGGGTCGCCGCTTGTGTCGGGAAAGCCCCTGGCGGACCGGGCCGGTTTGTTTACCTGCCCCGTCCGCAGGTCCGGCCGATCGCGGCTCCCACTGGCCGCGGTTCGCGGTTCCAGTCCAACGGGAGCTGCTGGAAGCGGCGACCAGTACGTCCCTCCGCCCATGCCGCTTCCAGCAGCTCCCGTTGGACTGGAACCGCGAACCGCGGCCAGCGGGAGCCGCAACGGGCCGAACCTGCGGACGGGGCCGGGCAACAAACACGCCCCGC